CTCCAGTGGCTTCTAATTCCTTTTGCCCTTCGCAGCCTTGCACATTGAAGCACGCCACGAACACACTGCAGGAGAACCCTCCTTCCCTGAGAAAATTCCCCTGGCTTTTCCAGAGCCTTGCAAAGAAGCTGAAGCGTGGGCCATGGTGCCTCACGACTTTTGCTGCTGCAAACATTACGGTTGTGGCAAGTTTCTTGGCTCTCATTGAGTAGCCAAGAAAGTTGCCGCAACCCTTCTTGAGTGCTGTCAAAAGCAAGATTGCACCTGCACTCTCCAAAAGAAAGCCAAGTTACGCGAGTTGAGTAATGGCCTGCTCACAGGCTGCAACACTAATGGGCCTACTTGCACCTGCTTAACGCTGCTCACTGCACCGCAGACGTGCTAAGACTGTAAACACCTTGCAGTGGCAGCCTTGCCTGGGTCCAAGGGGCTTGCCCGGCATCCAGGGCCCTGATCCTGATGGTGAATCTTAGTAACGGGTGTTGGCAGAGTCGGGAACCAAAAGTCGGAATAAGGCGGGTTGGAGTCGGGAAGGAGGGCCAGAGCCCGGAAAAAAGGGGGGTGGAGTCGGGAAGGACCGGAGGCGAGAGTCGGGAAATAACGAAACATCATGCAAATCTACATGATGTTTCCTGCCCGATTCCCGGAGCCCTAACCCTGAACCCCCCCACCCACCCCCCCCATTCCTGACTCCTGCCTGGTATGTTTCCTGATTCTAGCCGTTCTTTTTTTCTGACTCCTTGGCCCTGACTTCCTTTCATCATGAATGACTGTAGCAGCTCCCGGTATGCTCAGATTCCGGTCAATGTCCCGCTCGGTCAGGATTGATGCAACGATTTTCATCCCCCGTGTCCTGGCGAAGGGGATGGAAGGCCAGCAGGTCCAAGCAGTCCTCATTCAAGTGGGAGCTCTGTGCCAACCAGTCTGCAAATCTTGCTTCCACAATAGCTTTGAAATAATTATTCGTCTGTATCCCGCTGAGTCCTCCGAAACCTGCTCAGCCAGTTCCCGCCAGAGCTGTCCGAACTTCTGCAGTCCGGACTCACCCAAAAAGTCCTTTGCAGGGACACAAGGAGTGCCTGCTTCGAGTCCGACAAGCTTTCAAACAATGACTCACTACTTTGAAGCCTCATGGGAGAAGACTGTCAGTGTTGTGGGTGTTCTCGAAGATGACGTGGAGGCCGTCTTCAAGGCCCGCAGTCGCTGGCCTGCGCCTCAGGGTCCAAGAAGGCCGCGGCGGGGAGTACACAAAACAGTTCGTGTTAAAAGGCTTTGCAGCCAAGTTGCTGAGAACATCATCCACACAGTGTTGCCAGGAATCTGGGCCATGTTCGGAGTGCTGGATGATTGCCTCTCAACAACGCATACATTCTACTTAGTCTTCTTGCAGACAAGCGTTACACGCCGAAAATATGAGCAGCAGGCTCTACAAACTCGGAACCCTGTTGCTCCTCGGCGCCGAGTGCCCAGGGGCAAAGCCCCTCACCGGCCACAAAATCCCGCAGCCAAGCTCCAGTGCTGCGGATCACCTTACCGAAATTGAAGCTGATGCTCTTGAGTTCTGTTCTCCTCCGTTCAAACTTTAAAATACGGATCCTTCAAATTGCCTGCTGCCCGAACAAAAAGAATTTTGTCGAACTGTTGGGCAGAAGCGTGAAGCCTACTTACCACACACCCCTCAGGCCCCATGGACCCACACGTTGCTATTGTTCCCCTGGCCCATGCCCGACGAATGGGAGTACAGCAGGGGAATAGGTCAACATCTCCAGGTCGCGTGGCTTTGCCCGCATCAGGAGAACTGCTGATGTCGCCAGGCGCTGGTGCGGAATGACTTGTGTGTGCAGAGAGCCTTCCCGCAATCCCCATGCCGCAACAATCCGGTGCACTCGAGCTTGGAGCGGAAGCAGCATTCCCTAGCTTCAGGATGCCCTCTCGACTGCAGGCTGTACCACCTTAAGATCATTGGCAAACCGGTGCTGACCTGGTTGCAAAGGTGTCGTGCACAATCATGCCCTGGAATGCCTTGGTTCGGGCGGTGCGCAGAAAGCTCTGGCGGGGCGCAGGGGCACGGAGCTCAAGTCTTGCGCTCAAGTCTCTCACTTCCTGCCAGCTCCGAGTTGCTAGAAGTCCCAATGCTGTCAGCCTGAGCATGACCAGAACACCTGCAAAGCCCTACGGCCTGAAGCAGATCTCTGCGTGAGAACCCATTAGCTGCAAATACGCACAAACCCGCCATCAGAGAACATTTACTAGCCATAAGTGCAAGGGACCTTCCGAGGCCCACAAATCCCTGCTTCAGAATCTACAATAACATCCGCAAGGCAGCCTCATCAGCTGCTGAGCTCTTTGTCTCCGCATGGCTTGAGGACGGCGGCAAGCGTTGGCTTTGTGGGGGCTGCAGAGTGTAGATTTGCCACATCATTACCCGCCACACAATTTGCCAGAAGCCCTGGCGTGCTGTATGCCTATGAGTAGTTACATGCTTTAGCAACAAGTTCTGGGCAAGAAGAGATCCCTTGTCGTGCGGATTCTGGCCTGAGAACGCGGAACATCTGTCAAGTGCTCTCATGCTAGCAATTCAGCCATCAGCTCTTTGACGTCAATGCTGCATGACCAGAGCCAGGTTGCTCGCGAGTTCTGGGATTTGCCTAAGAACCCAACCCTGCCGCGGGAAGTTCTAGAATTCCGCCAAGCATCCCAGACCCCAGGCGAAGAGGCGGCCGGGTTCCACCAGGGCGGCACCTGGGCAAAGCTCCTTAGGGGGCCTAAGAAAGCCTAAAGCTCTGGCAGGATTGCCTCCAGCCCGGCTCGCTTTCAGAGAGCATGTCTTTGGCTCCTTTTTTGCCCCGCTGTTCACTTGCTTTGGCGCTTGTTCCGGCAGTGCTCAAAGGCCGAGACGACCTCCTCGTGACACACTGCTGTCGCCTTCACCTGAATTTGCTTTGGCTTGCATGCTCCGCACTCCAGCTGCACTTGAAGCATGCCTGTACCTAGTGGCACTAGTGGCCAGAATGCTTCACACGCAGTCTTCGCATGGCTTCGCACATCTAAGCATCTACGAAGTTCATCCAACGACGGGGGGCATGGTTGCTCTTCTCCCGAAAATCGCGGGTGCACCGCACAACGGCCTCCTTGAGAATCTCGTGGGCCTCTGCGACAAGAGAGAGCTTTAGATACCGGAGCTAGCTCTGAGCGTTGGGGGGCAAGGGAGAATCAAGCCGTTCACACCCTCGCTGTATCATGAAACTTTGACCCGCAGCGCGGCTTAGGCAAGGTTGCAAACCACCAGCCGTGCCCAAGGCCTGCATCAAATTCTGGTTCTGGACTTCATTCATCCTGAAGTGGCGACCAGTACAAGTGGTTGGGCCACCGACCCCCCCTCACCCTCCAAGATTCGATTCAAGCTTTAACCGAAAGCCTCTCTTTTAGAGTGAAGACTTTGGGCTCAGCCCAAGAATAAGCATCCAACAAAAGCAGGTGCATGCAGAAAATTGCAAGCAAGGAAAAGTCACGGCAGTGATGGCGCACGGGGACACTATGGCTCACGATATCATGCATGTACAAAGGCACTGGCCAGAGCATAGCTAGCATAGCTTCAGACAACCCTGCCAACCAAAATGGCACCAACTCCAAGGCGATGTGCAAACCGGAAAATTTACATGTGTGCTTTTTGGAGACGGAGGGCCTATTGCTAGTGGGAGGTGATTACACACCCGTCATTTCCACCTAGCTGGAATCTGGGAAAGGCGCCAATAGTCATAGCACTTGTAGCGCAGCTGCTTCCAGTAGTTGGTCATGTGCGCCTGCTGCTGTGGGGACAAGTGCGTCTGCCAGGTGTCGTTCTCCTCGGCAAAGGCTCTGGCATAACAGGAAAACACTTGCTTCTTCACGCCAATTCTGCATCTTAAGCCCCAACTTCCTTTGATCCCCTGACATGATCAGACACGGAGCCACCCGGATCGCCAGTTGGTGCCCACGCTTTTCAAGGAGCTCCTCGTCGCGCTGATAAGCGGTCCTGGGTCTTGGGCAGGGTCTCTCAGAGCGGGTCAGAAGATGCACTCCACGCGTCAGTCGATTTGGACCGGATTGTAGGATCCATCAAGACAGCAAAAGCAGATGGCAAGTGCCAAGATTGGGTCTCATGCGTTGTTGCGTTCGGAATCTGATTGTTCACATCGATATCACACAATCTTGCATTCTTACCTTCCTCGTTTCACTCCTTGACTCAGTCGTGCGTTGACCGAATTATCCTTGAGTCGTTCGTCTGTTATGGAGCGGCCTCCTAAAATCGGGTGGCGTGGGTGCAGAACATTTTTTTTCTCAGGTAATCGTTGGATGCCACCCTGCGTCGTTCTTCTTCGTTTGACACAACAAATTACCGCCAATGCTCAAGCCTGCTGGATTGACTACACGCGGCCAAGGCTCTGTCCAGTAAACATCCTCAGGAGCTGCCCCTGCAGAAAATGGCGCTCGAAAACGATGCAGGGCGCAGCATGGGAGTCTCTGCCCGCTTTGGGCCAGCTGTCTCGATCTTTGCAGGATCTTCAACTGCCACACAGCACGCGCCTTGTCCGGAAGCACTCTATGCAAAGCATCTTGACAACCCCAAACTCTAAATTTGCAAGGGGCTTTTGCTTGCCGCGCATGTTTGCAAGTCTGTTTGCAGATGAAGTTCATACCCGGCGCGCGAGGAGCTGATGCAAGGGGTGCCAGACTTCAACATCCTACGATTTCATGCTGCGATGCCATCCCCTTCGCACCCAGCTAGCTCGCGCAGCCAAAGGTCAACTGTACAGGAATGACTTGGCGCGCATGGATAGATATGGAGGGGCGGCCCTGCTCAACGCTGGTTGCCAGGGATTTTTCTGGCTGGCCACCTGAACAGGATGTGGTACATAGCAGCATCAAGGCCCATGCAAGAGAAAAGGTGGCACAACCAAACACAGACTTCTTGCCATGTCAGCCTGAACACCCATCGAGCCTGTAGCTAGAAGATCGGCTCAGTCCTCGCCATCCAAGTAGCCACTTGCGCAAGAGTTGGAACAGGAAATTAAGAAGAAATGAGCATTGTTGACTCCAGATCCTCATCTTCGTCGAAATCTGCAAGGGTCTTGAAGATCTTGGCGCCCACTGAACTCCTGCCAGCGTAGGGGTCACAGTCATCATTGGCTTGTCTCCTCTTCAAAACAAGATGGACCACGAGACGGCAGAAAGGTCGTGCGCTCTACAGCGCTGAGATCTTCACACTGCTAGCCAACAAAACCTGATCCAACAGGCTTCGTGCGAAAACGGTCTGGCTTCAGGAAAAAACTGAATGCATTTCTGCATTTGATGGTTGAAGCATTTGCCTCACACTCATGATACACAGTTGGCCCATGCATGAGCGCTCCAAGCGTGCGTGTTGATGGGCGGGTTCTGCATGACCTCGCGCTACGTCACTAAAGCTCTGACTGGAAGCGAAGCATAGAGGCATCTTCAAGAAAGCTGACAAGCCTCTACCTAGAAGCTACATCCGCCGGGCATTAGAGTTCTTTGCGACCCTGGACCTGAGGGCAAAACATCAAAGTCATCATCACTGTCGTATTCAGCGAGGCGGTCGAAGATCTTCCAGGGTGAAGTCGGCTTCTGTATCCGAGGGAGAAGCTAGAACTTAGAACTATCGACATCAAGGCCTTGCGGCCCACCATGCTCCAAGACTGAACGTTGATCTCCTGCCAAAAATGTTCAAGGGCCAAGGCTCCTGGGCTCAGACTGGAAAGGGAGCTCGAAATCCATGGGCTGAAGCATGAGAGCAAATGTCCAGCAGGACACAGACTTGTGGTACAGCAGGCGCCTCCTTGTCTTCGACATCACTGCCACTGGAGTCCACAGTGCTTGTCTCATCAGCATCCGCCTGCTCTAGATCCAAGGAAAACTACGCCACCCGCAGTTCTCCAACTGGAACGCTCTTGTGGCTTACAAGCACTCGCAGCTTTGGACTCCTGACCTCTTTGCGCTGCAGGGACCTAACAAAGCTCCCCCATCACGAGCTCAGCTTCGTGCTAGAGGCTGTACACTATGCAAAGACCTGGAAGGGAGTATCGCTGCCTCTGCACTACTGTACATCAGCGACTGCTGCGGTGCCACTCAGGGACCTTGAGCTATACAAGTCCTGGTGTACGGGCAACTGCTCGCTACAGATGTTTTGAAACCGATAAAGTGCAGGCGCCAGCGACGTTTTATGAATTCATGGTGACATGCCTTCAATTAGCAAGGACAAGGCAATCGCGCACGGATGCGACAGTTCGGGATCTCATGCAGGCGTTTGCATGGTGTTCAGTCTCGTCGTCCTCCTCCTCCATCTCGACAAAGGTGTTGCGTACCACTATCCTAGTAGAAGTGGAATCCAGATTGCGGAGTCGTTGCTGCAGGCATTCCAAGCTTCGGTCGTCCCGGAACCGGGGTGCCACATCCTCACACAATGCTGGCGCGGTCGAGCCGCCGCGTGCATGGCGGTACGCTGTCTTTTGCAGCGCATATGCCCGGCGAAAGCGCGGCCGCACAATGCGCCACTGTTCCTCCAGAACTGCACATTGGTAAGGGAGAAGCTCTTGCCCGTCCAAAAACTGGAACATGGTCGCGTGGTCGCCAATTCTCTGCAGAAAGAGCGTGAGATACTCCGAGAGCAGAAAGCCACTGCTTCCGACCATTCCTGCTGCACAGATGGAAGGTGGATTCATCCAACTACGTCTTAAAAAGTCTAATGTTTTTTACACGTACGTGTAAAGAACATTATGCTGTATGTCAACTCTCACAATTTCTCTCAATCTGTTGGCTCAGAGCCCAGGTGCCGGGATGGTAGCGTTCCCAGGCAGTCAGCCCCTCGCTCTTCCCTGCATCGATCGTTGTAAGGTCCTTTCAGCCAAGCAACCAAGAACCTAGAAGGCCGTCAGCTTGCCAGACTAAAAATAACAATGATGATAATGGCGATAATAAGAACAATAATGATAATGATAATAAAAAGTAACAAAAAAACATAAAAAGAATGATAACATACATATCCGCCGAGGCCGGAGGCCTCAGACGTTTAGATCCAGGGCCGGAAGAAGAAGAAGTTTAACCCACCCCGTACCCCTCCTAGTGCGCACGATCCGGAGGGGGGGGTGAGATCGGCTTCGTTTTCGTAGGTTTCCCAGCAAGGAGAAATTCCGAATGGGTCCGAAATGCAGAGGTCTCCTGGGCACCGCCAAAAAAGTGACCACTCCCTTGCGCTCGAGCTGTGCTCCACGCTGACCCTCAACTGCCAGCCTTAGCCTCCACTACCTTTGCCGAGGCGGTCTCGCGTTAGCGATAAAATTAACAACAGTAGTATAACAAAAATGATAACAACAAAAGTCTTCTCGACGGGATCCTCCTCCTCATGTGCGGCATCCTCCCCGGACACGGGAACAAAAGGCCTGCCACGTCGCCAGCTTTGCATCGTAAGGATGACATAGCCGTGCCGATCCATTTCTCGCATCCTTGGCAAGGCTTCTGGTGAGGCGCTGAAACCGTTTAGCCCAAGCCTCAAGGAACCTCCGTTGGGACTGCAAAACTCATACTCATGAAGCTGGAACCCAAGCAGCTGTGTGATCCCAGGACGGTTCAAGAACCACCCTGCCAGGTCCCTGCAGCCAGCATGGCATGTCATTTTCTTGTGACGAGCTTATCACTTCAGCAGGGAGTTGGAAAGAAATGCACAACCCACGCCTTTTAGACTTTTGCTCTTACAACTGCAATTTCTCTCACTGTTACTACTAGTATTCTTGTTATTACCTAAAGTCTTATTGCTATTCTCTGATTGTCACCTCCCTTGCTTCAGCATGGACGTGAAGTGCCCGCTGGCCCACGTCGCCAGGATGCTGCCCGGCGCCTGCAAGGCTCCAGGAGGCTCAAGGAGGCTCCTCCCAAAGACCTAACAACCTTCCCACGGGCGCACCACGAATATGAAGTTCAGCCCGACGTTGGTCTGGTTCTGCGGCCGGAACACTGCTATAGCCTGAAAAGCTTCCGCGCAGCTTGCGATGGCAAGCACCTGAGCTGCTCGCGGAACGAAATGGCGACAAAACGCCTTTTGGTTGACAAGGCCAGACTGGCTATCAAGAAATTGGAACCAGATGCAATGCAACGAGATCATCAATCTCCTAACACAGGCCAGCCGGCACAATCGCCGCTCTGCGGGTAATTTCTCCTGACCATCTGACGAAGATCGCCCAGTAGTTCCGGATGATAGAAGAAGTTCAGAGGGTCTTGTCCACCTCATGCAACCAGATTCGCTCTGATTCCAGCTGGGTCATACAACAGCTTGCCCTACACCAACTACGTCTGTTCAACAGGAAATGCAAAAGCGTTCAGCTACAGGACCTTACAGCGGAAGCGGAAGCTAAGGCACTGAGATTGCAGAAGAAGAGCGCACAAAGCCGGAAGAACCTGACTCAGAGACGGCATGGGATGACAACAGGGGAGGGTCTGACATTGGGGCCAACTTTACCCACACCCCCCCTATTTGCCCGCAGCATCTTCATGTTACGTGCGCATCCAAGGTCAAAGCGTCCGTATAAATACTTCGACAACTGCAAGACTACTGTTATTTACAGCGAAACAAGATACTAGCGAATGCATGCCGGCACCCATAGTAACGTTCATTTCGACCGCATGCACAACATGCGAACCCATGCCGGCACCCATGATAACGTTCACTTCGACCACATCCACAACTACCGAAACACT